AAAGCACCGTTCGGATACCATCACCAAAAAAGAGAAATCATAATAAAGTTGTGTTAATACTGATTTACTTACACTACAAAATCTTGAATCAAACATAGTGTTCCAGTCGAGAGATCAAAATAACAGTTCAAAAATGAATCACAAAAGATCAGTATTAATTGCAAAAGAATTCTTATTAAATTGTCTTACCATCTATTTTAACGTAATACATTTTATTATTGGAAGATAATGAAATGGTTAAAACCTTGGCATACATAATGAGATATTTAAGTCAGACGTAAAGTTGAGAACTGTTACCAGTGTGTCTGTCCGTCACTGGTTCTTTTGTCCGTTTCCGTACAATAAAAGCAATCTAAAAAATACGTTAATTAACATAGTCTTCTTCTCTACAATTACCCATCTATTCCAATACATAAAAGTGGTGTCAGAAGTGTACAAAAATTGCTACACACAGATCTTTTTCGAGAGGAAAACTAATCGTTTCACACAAAGATATTCAACTCGCAAGAATACAGGCACAATTGAGGTTACAAAATGGAAGTTTCGCCTGAGTTTATCCAAGCATTTACAAATATGCTTACTAACGCATTACAAACGTCGGCAGCTAATGCAGCTACTAGCTAATGCACCACGACGAATCAGCCAAATTCCTTTATAACGGCACAACCGAAGCCACCGGCATTCTCGATGGCGGAATATCGCTCATCCGACAATACAGCAGTCGAGGACTACTTTCAACGATTCGACTGGGCATTACAGCTAAGTAGAATTCCAGAAGAATTGCATGCCAATAATGCTCGCGTTCATATGGGTACCGAATTAAACAACGCACTTAAACTCTTAGTCTCTCCGCGACAACCAGAGGAATTACCTTATAACGAAATACGTTCGGTACTTGTAAATCATTTCGATCGTACTAGAAATAAATATTCCGAAAGCATTAAATTTCGTCTTATTGTGCAGCAAAAGAAGGAGAGCGTCGCAAATTTCACATTACGTCTTAAACAAGGTGCTGCTCACTGCGAGTATGGCGAATTTTTAGATCGGATGCTTATAGAGCAACTACTACATGGACTCGACTCGCGCGAAATGTGCGATGAAATTATCGCAAAGAAACCAACAACGTTTACGCAAGCATACGAAATTGCTAATACACTCGAAGCAACGCGATCTACATCTAACGAGGTTAAAACGGCCGAGACTTCAGAAACAGTGGAAAAAACGCATAAAGTTAAGCAGGCACCGGTGAAAACTAAATATAATAAACAATTCTCGCGTTACAGGTCACGCTCACGTAGTAAAAGCCTACATCGGAATCAATTTGCTAACGCTCGAGATGGTAACAATCCGCATCCATGTCAAGGATGTGGAGAGCGACACAGACGAGTTTCATGCCCCTTTCGGAAATCGGTGTGTCATAAGTGCAGCAAAGTTGGGCACATTGCTAAAGTATGCAGATCTGGTAAAACTATTCAAGCGGTACAAGACGCAAATCAGGCAACTACAACGGCTCTTCCAGCAGAACATGTCGATACGATTCAACAATTTAGTAAAATCGAAGAAATTCATGCAACTAAAGTTTTGAACAAGCAAATGATTATGGTCAAGATCGACGGTCATGAATTGGCGATGGAACTGGATACAGGAGCACCATGCAGCATTGTTAATGAAAATATATTGCGCTTAATTAAACCTGATTTCAAGCTATGCTCTACGGATCGGAAGTTTGCCAGTTATACGGGTCATCACATCGAATGCATGGGATATCTACCAGTCAACGTCTCACTGGGTACAACTTCGCGTAAACTTAAACTGTACGTTGTTAAAGAGCCTTTCGACACTCTTTTAGGACGAGAATGGATAGCAGAATTCACTGAAGAAATTAATCTTAACAAACTATTTTCGGCTTCAAACACAATCCATTCACTAAGCACTGAGCCACCATCGTTATTCACGGAACAGAATAAACAACTCGAACACCTTTTGGCTCGCTATGAGAACATTTTTAGCAACACTCCAGGCAAACTAACAGGCTCTCCAGTTTCAGTACACTTTAAACCTGGAGCTACACCAATTTTTTCCCGCGCACGTGAAGTACCTTTAGCTCTTCGCGATGAATATGCTAAGGAGATCGAGGCCAAGCTTGCATCAGGATTTTACGAGAGAGTAGAATTTTCAGAATGGGCTTCCACAACACACATTGTGACCAAGAAAAACGGGAAAATACGCATCACGGGCAATTATAAACCGACTCTCAACCAATGCATTGTGATCGACGAACATCCCATTCCAAAACCTGAGCACTTATTTAATAAAATGAAAAACGCTAACCTCTTCTGCCATTTAGACATTACGGATGCCTATACGCACTTACCAGTAGATGAAAAATTCGCACACGCACTGACATTAAATACACCAACTCACGGATTAATTCGCCCCAAGCGCGCAGTCTACGGTGCAGCGAACATACCAGCGATATGGCAACGTCGCATGGAAACTGTTCTTCGGGACCTACCCAATGTATTAAATTTCTTCGACGATATACTGCTATTCGCAGATGGATTTGATAACTTAATGATAATCCTGGATAAGACATTGGAACGTCTTCAATCACAGGGACTTCGTCTCAACCGCACTAAATGCGTCTTCGCTTCTACAGCAGTCGAATTCTTGGGTCATAAAATCGACTCCCACGGAATCCACAAATCAGATAAACATATTGAGGCGCTTAGAGATGCACCGAAGCCGTCTACTAAAGAAGAATTACAGTTGTTCCTGGGCAAGGCAATGTATTACAATTCCTTTATTCCAGACTTCGCAACGAACAGCCGACTATTAAGAAATATGCTTCTGACAGAACCTTTTGAGTGGACAACAGCCGCTGAGGAAGCTTATGACGACATCAAGAATTTACTGATCTCTCCTCAGGTTCTGATGCCATATGATCCGTCTCTTCCGTTAGTCCTGGCAACGGATGCAAGTAAGGTAGGACTGGGTGCCGTACTATCGCATCGACTTAGAGAAGGACACGAACGTCCAATAGCGTATGCTAGTCGCACATTGACGCCTACGGAGCAGCGGTATCCGCAAATAGATAAAGAAGCACTAGCAGTAGTATGGGCCATACAAAAATTTTTCTATTATGTGTACGCGCGTCAATTCACTTTATATGTCGATAATAAGCCCCTATCACAAATTCTGCATCCAGAGAAATCCTTACCTACATTGTGCATTAGTCAAATGGCAAATTACGCGGACGGACTATCTCTCACATTTTAATTTTAATGTTCAATTCAAACCGACAAAATCCAACGCTAACGCCGATTATTATTCTCGCATGCCATTGCCAACTACAACAAACACGGTTCATAAGATTATGAATGAGGAAGAGATAGTGAGTCATGACTAATTTAACGAATTTGCATTGTGTCAAATCAATCAACTGCCAGTACGCGCAGAGTATATTGGTAAAGAAACGCGGAAGGATCCAGAGTTAGGCAAGATTGTTCAATTATTAGAGGCAGGAAAAAACTTAGCCCGTGCTGGCTATAAAGCCCCAGAGTCTGAGTATACACTAGCAGCTGACTGCTTATTATTTGAACACCGAGTCGTCATTCCAACTTCTCTTCGGGAAGCCATTCTTAATGACCTGCATTCATCTCATATAGGTATAATCAAAATGAAGGGCATTGCTCGCTCTTTCGTTTTTTGGCCCAGTATTAACGCGGACATCGAACAAGTCGCTAAATCCTGTACCGCCAAGCACGCACATTTGCCACCTAAGTGTAAAGATCATCACTGGGAATATCCAAAAGGACCATGGGAAAGGATACATATAGATTACGCAGGACCAGTCGCAGGTGCCATGCTCCTAATTGTCGTTGACGCTTATAGCAAGTGGGTGGAGGTGAGAGTAACCCACACAACTACAACAACCGCAACAATTGCAATGCTGGACAACATCTTCGCATCATATGGAGTTCCCACTACAATAGTATCAGACAATGGAACTCAGTTTACGGCCGAGGAATTTAAGACTTTCTTACAGTCAAGCGGAGTTAAGTATCACAAACGCATAGCACTGTACCATCCGGCAACGAATGGTCAAACCGAACGTTATGTCCAGACGGTCAAGAATGCACTAGCTACTATGGGCACAACACCTGGATCATTACAATCCAATCTTAATCAGTTCCTCCAACAGTATAGGAAAGCTCCGCATGTAACAACAGGCCAGTCGCCTGCGCAATTATTCCTTGGACGCAACATACGTACTAGGATAGATTTAGTACGACCAGATAACTTACATATGAATAACACGGAGAAACGGCAAGCCACGCTTAATCTGTCGTTCCGAGAGTTCCAGTCCAAGCAAACGGTCTATTTCCTGTCAAGTAACCCTCGTCTGGATAAATGGGTTAAAGGTAGGATTGTCTCACGATTGGGCGATCTACATTACGAAATAGACTATGAGGGCAGACGCTTCAAAAGGCATGTGGATCACATTCGCGCCTTTAGTGAGAAAAAAAACTGAGGACCAGCCTAATGGCACAAGGCCAAAAGAGAAGGATAAGCCTCGTAGAGTTCATTTTTATGATAACGATATTGCAATCATTCCCCAAGCTAAGTTACAGGTACCACTGTCACCACGAGGACCACCTTCACCACCGAGTCCGTCTACTCCAGAGGAGTATTATTATACACCACCCTCAACTCCGTCTTCGCAAGGGTCTCCACCACATCAAATACAAGCACCTCCAATATTACGGAGATCTACAAGACATCGCCACCCTCCACTTCGTTATTCACCGAGTTAACTGTCTTAGAACTCATGTACTCTAAGCACTAAAAAAAAAGGGGGAAGAATATTATGTATGCAATTTTACCAACAGCGGTAGTGACGTTACCGACACGGTTGTTCTCCCCGTCTGTCGCCAGTGTGTCTGTCCGTCACTGGTTCTTTTGTCCGTTTCCGTACAATAAAAATAATCTAAAAAATACGTTAATTAACATAGTCTTCTTCTCTACAATTACCAACCTATTCCAATACATAAAAATAATGAAATGGTTAAAACCTTGGCATACATAATGAGATATTTAAGTCAGACATAAAGTTGAGAACTGTTGGTGTATGTTTACTTTGAACTAACACTTTCAATAATATATGAGTCATTTTCCATGGTATTTCATTATTTTTTAATAATAAAATGTATTACGTTAAAATAGACAATTTGGCATAAGAATTCTTTTAAAATTAATACTGATCTTTTATGATTTATTTTTCAAATAAAAAACCGTTATATATATATTTTTTTTTCAGGATTTGTTTTTCCTTTTCTTTTATATACTCTTGCAGCATCCTTTCGTACGGTGGATCATCAAATCGACATTGAATTGACATTGATTCGACGTCGACTCCATTGTTATTTCTCACATGTATGTGAGTTAACAAGTTATATAATTTCTCTTTCTTGGTAATGAAATCCGTTGTCAATTTAACTAAAGTGATATTACTGCGGTAGTGAATATGTATGCGTCAATGCTGAAAATCTATCAGGGTCGCGGGGGGAGGGACTACATACGCGGTATATAAATTTACACAATTATAATATACATATAATGATCCTTAACTCGATCGAATTTAGATTCAAATGCTTCTCATCTCTTTTCCGTTTCATCGAAATTGTCAGTTGCAATGCATTATCTTCAGTTTAATAGTGATAGGTGATTTCAACAACATGAATTGTAACTTTTTGTGCCTCTCCTTTCAATAAATCTGAAAATTAAATACAATAGAGAGAGGACAAACTAAAATAAAGATTATAAAACTTATCTGATGAAGACAAAATTAATAATCCACGAGTGAGGAATGTGCTTGGTGATTTCGATTATAACAAAGAGATATCAGGCCACCAATCACGTCAGATAGTTGCTTTAAACGGGGAAAATTCAAAATGTAACTTCACTTCCTGCTGCATATTGCATATACATTCTCAAATTCTTTTTATAATCCTGCGTACAAAAGGATGTTGCAATAAAGTTGTTATTACAAAAGGAACGAAAAATAAATAATTACAGCAAAGGAAATATTTATTTATTCTCACTTACGTGTTCCTCTGTGCCAGCGATATGTCAAATTTCCTAACCTGAATAAACTAACCAAAACAAATTCTCTGCTATAAAATTATATATATATAGAAAATAATTCGTATTCTTATATCAGAAAATGTTTTACAGCAGAGAATTTGTGTAATAAAGCAGAAAATATTTATTTATTCTAATCTCACTTCCGTATTCGTCTATGCCATCGATATGACAGATTTTTCCATATTTATATCTATCTATATAAACGTTTCGGTCATTAATTAATTCTGACGACTCCATTGTGAAAAGCGATCCCCAAAAAATCTTAAGATACCAAGTTTCGTTATTTATTTCGTTTTAGTGTGTTAAAAATTAGCTTGAAATCAAGCAAATTTAGTTTTTTTAAAAATAATAATTTCATAAAATGAGCATAATACCACACATGTTCTTATTTGTGATAAATTATTATAAAGTAAATAATTTATTATATCAATATCATAAAATCTATATAAACGTTTCGGTCATTAACCATCTTTAGTATAAAATTACAATTATATTACAATATAAAAAAACCTAACACATAATAAATTTGTCAATTATTCGCTTACTATATTAAAATGCATTTTTATTCTTCTTGTTTCTTTCTTCATAGTTATAGTTTGCTACCAATGTACGTTAGTTTCTGTCATCGTGATCAAAATTCGTCAAAAATATACATTTTTGATGAAATATAATTACCAGACTGTATAATTAAAAATTAATCTTATAATAACAAATTAAAGCAAGTAGTATAGATCTTCATAAATGAATACAATCTGGAGACACGGTAGTGTCTCGGCGCTAAGCCAAGCGCGCGACATTTAGTTTACCTATATTTCGTGCAAAATAGTAATCAAATTCTAATGTACAGATAAAAAGTGGAGCATCAGTGGAAAATTGAGCACTTAGACAATAAAGTCCGCAGTTTAATGAATCTTAATACGTAATCTTATGTGTATATGTACATGACAAAAATAAAAATAAATACTATGGAGGAGAATTTGCGTCAAAGTTATAATGTGTGTTTGTTATGATAGCAAAATCTGGTAATTTTTCCGTGTCACTTTGCAAATTTAGACAATAATTATGATTTTTAATATTAATCATTTTAGAAATGGATCTTTTAAAATATACTGGTTCTATGTCTAAAATTGTAGTGTTAACCCAATCCATATCATGTTTGCATTTTTTGATGTTTACTTACTACTGATTTATTTCTAGATTTTTTCAAATCATCCTTGTGTTTTTTTAATCGTGTTTAAATTTTTGTTTGTTTGTAATAATACATATGTCATATTACAATCTTTACAATTAATTTTATACACAACATTAGTGTTATCAAACTTATTTAATATATCTTTGCCTGTTTTATATATATATATATATATATTTATATACAGGGTGAATTTTTTATCTTGAAACTTTCAAATATCTCGAAAAATAAGCACAATAAGAAAAAATGTTAAGAATCAAAATTTCATCATTCCGAGGGTAACATACACTGACGTTAAAATCAGCCCCCCCATCCCGCCCCCTGGGCGGTGAGGGGCGGCAAGTTTGAAATCTTAAAAGGGAACCCCTATTTTTTATTACATATTCGGAATTTTTGGCTAAAAGCACATACGATTTGTCTGAAACATTTTTCTCGATTCATGATAGATGGCGCTGTAATCAACGAAATTCAATTTCTTCGATTTCTCTTACTGAGAACCCATGCTTACGATTTTGCAATACATTAACAATAAAAATACCACGTTTTTATTGTTAAAACACGAAAATAGTCTTAAAACAAACTTCTCATTATTTTTTTAATTACTCATTAATTACTTCTCAAGAAATTACTTTTAGCGTAACCCAGGAACAACGACGTGACTTGAATTTCAGCACAATTTCTTGTGTACTAACATGAGGATTAGAAAAGAATAATGAGATAAATCAAATGATGTAAAGAAAACACATAGTTGCGTATTTAAAAAATTATTTATTTTGTATACATATTTTTTTAGCAGTTTTCTGTTCCCTTCGGGGTGCTTGATTAACGTGAATTAAGGAGTAATTAAAAAAAATAATGAGAAGTTTGTTTTAAGACTAATTTCGAGTATTAACAATAAAAACGTGGTACTTTTATTGTTAATGTATTGCAGAATCGTAAAGCGTGGGTTCTCAGTAAGAGAAATCGAAGAAATTGAATTTCGTTGATTACAGCGCCATCTATCATGAATCGAGAAAAATGTTTCAGACAAATCGTATGTGCTTTTAGCCAAAGATTCCGAATATGTAATAAAAAATAGGGGTTCCCATTTAAGATTTCAAACTTGCTCCCCCTCACCGCCCAGGGGGCGGGGTTGGGGGGGCTGATTTTAACGTCAGTGTATATTACCCTCGGAATGATGAAATTTTGATTCTTAATATTTTTTCTTATTGTGCTTATTTTTCGAGATATTTGAAAGTTTCAAGAAAAAAATTCACCCTGTATAATGATAATGATTTTATTATTAGTTTTTTTATTACACTAATCTTTATTATGTCTCTTTCTATCATTCATTTTATTCTTTTTGTTTAGGATTTCCAAATTTTATTTCTAGGAGATACAGATAAGTATTCATTAATTATATTTAACTATATTCTCTCTCTCTCTCTCTCTCTCTCTCTCTCCCCCT